TAGACCATATGATTGTCTAAATGATTCAAAATGGCCAATACCAGTCTATCTCAGCTTCTTAATACTTAGGATACTAATCTTTATGTATTCAATCTCATGTTTGATGACTTACAATTTTCCTAGGTTCACACTTCATACATTCCACCTTCTAGTTATTAATGGATGCTTGTATGTATTTCTTCTCATTTTGAGTCATGCCCTATCAACAAATGAAGGTCCTACAAACTTTGCTCCATCCATGTCATTAAGGTACTTTGAGAAGACAACTCTTCCCTAGTCATATTTTGAGTGTCTTCCAATCTTTTGGCACGCTATCTGAAAAGGGTCCATAAGATTTTCAGTGGCAAAGTTTTTCAAAAGTAAACAGCCTCTTCCTTCTTCCTAGTATGTACTAGTCTGGAAGCTCTACTGAAGCCTGTCACCATGGGTGACTCTGCTGGTATTTACAATATTGGAAGCATAGCTTCCAGCATTACAGCAACATGGAATACACCAATGTATGACAAACTGACAGGCAGGCGATGGCAACTGCATTTAGATCTTCACTAATGGATGCAATGAGAAAAAGCACTGCCCCATCATCTCTTCTGTGTACAAAGCAGGCTCTGAGGACATTAAGGCTCTGGATCATGCCATGCTCATCTGAAGTAAGAAACATTGTAATTTTTTAGATACAACAAAAATTCCTCTCCATCTCCCATTAAGTTGGTCTAAGATTCTGTCATTTGCAAGTCAAACAGATTCATTTTGGAAGCTATTGTTTACCCTTTTTTTCATATAAAGTTCCATTTGCTAATTTTCTGAGAATTAAAGAATGTTTGCCCTAAAACATTATTCCTGATTGAGATAAGAAGCTAAAATTGCTTTGGAGGAGAAAAAATGGAATGTTCTTACACTAGAGAAAGTTAACTCCTTCCCTGTTTCTAAATTGTTCAGGAGAAAATCTCTCAGGTATGAAAGGAATAATGAGAAACTGTATCTGTTTCCCATCTGCCTTGTGCCTGGGACCGTACTGATCTACCAGGTTTGAAACAGGATCAATGGAAGCCGATGGACTAAATCTAAGTGACAGAACAGTCCAGAGGCAAGGAAAGGGTGCGTTATCTACCTCTCCCATTCTCCACAAAACTAGTACTCTGTGAACAGTATCTTCTAGCCCTTTTTCATTAAAAAAAAAAGTATATATTTCACTCTCATGTAATTTCTAAAATAGCTTACCAATTAATTCTCTTGAGGTTACTAGTAAAAGTCAGATTACCTTTAAATAATCTTGCCTCTTAATACTTAACTGTCTTTCATGCATAGAATTGCCCCCTCACTCCCCAAATATGTGCCAACTTGATTAGGTCATGAGTCTCGGTGGCTTGGGGTTGTGTAATGGTATGTATATTGTGGTGGTTATGTAATGATATGATCAGCCAATCACAATTGGTTGTAAAGGGGTCGGGGTGGGATGCAACAAACACCCTTACTGAGGTCACAAACGATCTGATTGATGTAAAGAGAGTTTCCCAGGACTTGGCCTCACTCACAAGAGATAAAAGGAGAGAGAAGAAAGCAGAGAAGGGGGTGCCTCAGAACAAAGAAAGATGAGCCAGGAGTAGAATGTGTGCAGGGAATCTGGGATTCCTGCTCGGCGAACCTTCCAGACCCAGGGGAAGGATGATGACAAGATACACGAGTATGTCGAACACCAGGCCATCACACACAGAAGGAAGATGGACCTGCATCATTTAAACTGAGTTGACAAAGAGCTTTTCCTTGAAGCTGGTGCCCTGAATTCCGACTTCTAGCCTCCTCTACTGTAAGAGAATACATCTCAGAAGCCATACCACAAACTATACACTTGTGGTATTTCTGTTGTAGCAGCACTATATAACCAAGACATTGTTTATCATCTTTGCTAAAAAGAATGCTCTTTTAATGTTAGTTTGAATTACAAAAAGGATTTTGAAGTTCTTACACAGATCTGGAAAAGATAAACTCCCATCAGAGGATGAATCATAAAACAAAACCACCCCAGCTAGCAGAGTCAATTCCCATTTATAGCACCGCTTCAGGTCAGAGCAGAACTGCCCCATAGGGTTCCCAGGCTGTAAATCCTTACATCTTTCTCCTACAGCTCAAACTGCCATCCTTTGGGTTAGCAGCCAATCAGTGCTTTCTCCACAGGTTACTGATGAGGAGATAGAGGCAAAGTAAAACCGTTAGGAAGCAAGTGACAAGCTGGTTCCAGGAGCTCAAATTGGATGTAGAAGTCTAATTCAATGGTATTCAGATGTTTGGATTTCAGAGACCAGTAAATTCTCTTTTAAAGTTAGGAGACTGGGAGACAACAGACAGTGTAAGAAACAAAATAACAACAGTAATATATAATTGATCAAGGATTCACAAGGGTGGGAAGGTGAGGGAGAGAGGGGGTAAAAAGAACTGATACCAAGGGCTCAAGTAGAAAGAAAATGTTTTGGAAATGTTGATGGCAACCTATGTACAAGTGTGCTTATTACAATTGAATGATGGACTGTCATAAGATTTGTAAGAGCCCCCCAATAAAATGATTGATAATTTTTTAAAAAAGCTTAGGAAACTCTTTAAGACTGTGTCCTTAATGATCCTTCAAACCTGGAGCTTTTCAGCCAGGCATAGGGTGAACCACGCACTTGTAAGGAACGTTTTCCTCAGGACAATCAACCTTGCAAGACCAGGTGGGTGGCCGTGGCTTAAGAGCAAAGTTAAGAAGGCAAGCGAGACCAGGAGAGAGGAACAGTGGGAACAAGGACCAGAGGAAGAAGTGCTGTTACACTGAGGAGATTGCAACTAATGTCATGAATGTTAAAATTAATATTTGCATGTGAATTGTGGTGTTGGAGAAGACTATTGAAAGTACCATGGACTGTTAAAAGTACAAACCAATCTGTGTTGGAAGAAGTATGGTCAGAGTGCTTCTTAGAGACATAGATGGCAAGACTTGTCTCCATACTTTGGATACATTGTCAGTAGAGACCAATCCGAAGGACATCATGCTTGGCAAAGTAGAGGGGCAGCAAAGAAGAGGAAGGCCCTCAATGCGAGGATTGACAACAGTGGTTCAACAATGGGCGCAGGCATAGGAACCATTGTGAGGACGGTGCAGGACTGGGCAGTGTTTCATTCTGTTGTGCGTAGGGTTGCTACGGGTTGGAACCCACTCAATGGCACCTGACCACAGCAAAACCCTTCACCCAAATCACAGTGTTATTTCTGAACAAAAATCACATACAGACAAAATCAAAATGTTAAGTTTCTGATGACTAAATAAAATTTAAAAATAGATATACAAATTCTTGTCATTGAAAATCACACAGTAAAACAAAAAATAAAATCATGTAGCTTATTTCATTTATCACATATTTTAAAAATTATCAATCAACACAAATTGAAAATACTGATGTTGAAGGTTTTCGTTCTACTTTAGTGTATATTTTAAAATTTCCACAATTAATGTGTTTTTTAAAAATGACATCAATACAGTTTAGGGATCAACCTGAAGTTGCTACCTTTTTATATTTCTAATTTATGAAGATTAAATCAAATAAAACCAAATGATTATATCTTGTTGTATTCTCCCCCCTCACTTTAGCACAAATTGGTAAAAACAATTATCAGGCAAAGGATCCTGGTTTAAATAAAAACATGAAGAGCAAAATGACTGACAGTAAAGGCAGTCATTTAAATAGATTCCTTATGGAGAGATGTTCCTTTCTGACCACCTGTCTACCTGTTCATTATGATAAAAGAACCTTTACTATTAGACATACCGTATATACTTGTGTATAAGTTGAGTTTTTCAGCACATTTTTAATGCAGTTTTTGTGGTAAAATTAGGTGCCTTGTCTGATATTTGGGTCAACTTATACTCGAGTAATTCGGGGTATTTCTGATAAATAGCTGTGACGTCAGTAACGTGAAATGTATTGTGCTCTATGATTTCATATAAATACAGTATCCTTAGACAGATCATTCCTATCTATATAATGGTTAATTTCCCAGTACCTACATAAACATGAGCTCATTTGACTCCTTTAAATCATTCACACTTAATTGCTTAAATATTCTCATCTTGATCACTATGAATTTCAGAAATGTCAACTTTTGCCACTTTCTGAAGTAGACATTTTCACATCCCGTATCAGTTGGTGAATGTATATATGCGTGCCTTTACTTCTGACTTAGAAATGGCATAACATTACTCTTTATTTCTGAACAGTTGAGCTTTGTACCTTAAGGAAAATGCTAATTCCTTTTATACACGTGTTTTTGGGACTCTGCCAAAGTGTTCTGGGTGTGTGGACAAACTTCAGAAGTGTCTTGAAACGTCTTGAAATGATGAGAATATGAACAAGTGTACTTTTCTGGGGTACAGATCAAAGTCTTTATCTGATTCTTTTACAATAAGGATATGAAAACAGAAAAAAATCCCAAATACTGTTCAACTAGAAGATTTAGAAGGGAACTGTGTGCTATCCACCAGAACTCAGAAGTATTACTTAAAATTGGGTCTCTGCAGATGTAACAAATGATCTTGAAATAATTCTGGACTTAGGATAGACACTAAATCCAATGGCTAGCATCTGTATACAAAGGAAGCAAAGTCATGTGAAGACAAAGAGATTGGAGCTATGCATCCACAAGCAACACTACACATTTAAGCCAGTTAATTGCTAAATTACTCTTTTATCCGTTAGGAAACAGAAATGTCACACATCCTTTTAATGTATTTGAAATAATTTGGGTTCTCAGAACATATACACATAAGTGTAAAAGGTATAAAATCCTGTAAGAAGTTATGTTTAAGTCATATTGAGCATTTGCTAAAAGATGTGATTAATTGGAAAACTCAAGACAAAGGGTACTTTCTTGCAGTTAGGAATCTCAGCATGGCTAGTTGTATCATTCACTGAGTAAGTGGGGGTTGTAAACATTCAGAAGAAACACTGAATTAAGAAGTCAGGAGGCCTGGGTTCGAGTGCCAATTTTATTTGTAACGAACCATGGACAAAACACTTACTTATGAAATAATGGTGAACATCGACTCCCTAATTCACAAATATGCCACGGAACCAAAATTCTCCCCCAAGAAAGCTTCATTGTAAATGAAGAGATTACTGTTATTTAGTTTTGACTTTAACTGATAGGTTGAAAATGACAAATGGGAGAATTTGTCGTTTTTATTAATTGTGTGCATACTTCAATTCTGCAAATGGATAATCTGGTTGAGATAAGCATTGTCTGATATTTCAATTTTATAAAACAAAAAGCTATCAACAAGAAGTTACTGGAACAGAAAGAGGTGGTCAGAAAAAATGATGCTACTGAAAAACAGCTTTCTATGTTAGGAGCTTCTAACATTCCTGTTATCAAATGGAACAAAATTTAGTTTGAGGTCACCAACATGTTTGCCCCTTTGAAAGGACGCCTATCAGTAGGGCAAACGAGATCTCATTTCTCTAAAATTAATGTTAAACAGGAGTCCTACAGATGCTACAATGACCAATCAACATAGCTAAGCAAACTTTGATCTTTCCCCCCTCCGCTTCATTTTGTCATCCTTCTGTTTCATTAAAAAACTCCCAATTCCCAACACCACAACACACGCCTCTGTACTCCACTAGGCTGAAAGAAATCCTAGCCTTCTGTCACCAGGTGGGAAAAAAGGAATTAGGGGGATGTTATTCAAAAAGCTCCTTTAAACTGGGAGTAAGAAAAATGAATAGATCATAAGCATCTGGCCACTTATCATATATATGAATCAGGCCAACTATATGTACTAACCATCGAAAAGTAAACACATTTTCCTGCAAGTAACATTGCTAGTCTCTATTTCTGGACTTTCCCTCATATTATTGTGACCAAAAATGTCTGGGACATGATTCACACAGAAACAGAGTAGATACAAATGCCATCATAAAATATTAAACTATTTCCCAGGGAAATATTTTAGAAGAAACATACTTTCACTGTTGGCCCCAAATGCCATCATTCACTTATGTTCTTTACCTGTCAACTTTTAATACAAAAATACCTTAAAGCTGATAATCAAGAACATTTACAGGGACTTACAAAATTGACAGAATATTTCAATGTTATACACAGCTTAAAGTTTTAAAGTTCTTTGCTGGCACTTGAGTTTATAGTTGAGAAACACAATAACTACTATCTCAATAAAATACTGTTTTTAGCTTATACATATTGTCAAAACCCCGTATTACCTCACAAAAACAGTAAAGAACAAATCACTTTCTGCTCAAGAGTCCTCTAAGACGAGCACCAAGAACTATACAGCCAAGTTATTGTAGGAAAGCAAAGTGTCTAAGTCCAGGCAACTGATACAAATGTACATTATCCAACAAGTCCAGTGAAAAAAAGGATTGTTCCTCTGATTCCATAAAACATCGATTAGGTATAGATCAAAAATATGAACTTATAAAACTTGTTCCATTGTTCTTTTTTTGTTTGGGTTTAGAAAGGTTTTTAAATGACTGGTGATCCTATCAATGTCTTTTTCTTTTTAATTTTTAGGTAGAAAATCTCATTTAGCAAGTACACATTTTACATTCCAAATTAAAACTAAAATTTTTGTTAGAACAGTGAAGCCATTTTTTATTTCCCATTAAGGAGTAAGGCCATTTGCACACTATCAAAATGAAATCACTATTCAATCATCTTAATGCAAACATACACTCTTTTTTTGCAGAGGGAAAGAGAACCAAACTAAAACTTAACAAATGATGTTTAACTTAAATGCACATTTTTAAAAAACCTATTAGCTTACGAATATGGAAACTGCCTACTGTTATTCTGAAGGAAAGTATACACCTTCAAAACCTTACGTAGCACTTCAGTCCAATCAGTTTTCTGTTATTGAAATTTCAACAAAAAATTACATTGCTCATACCACTAAATTAATAGAAGACTAAACTAAGAAACTTTAATATAAACATACTGACCCAAATAGTCCAGTGGTACTGGAACAATGTGGAAAAAACACCAACCGTTTTAGTTGATAATACAATTAATTACTTCCCAAACTTTATTATTTTAATTTTGGACTTTTAGAATAGTAAATTATTAAATAGGCTGATTTCACAAACTGCTTACATTTTGTAAGTTGAAATTAGTATTTCAGCATCACTATTTCTAAACCCAATCATCTGAGGTTTTACTCAACGCTTTAGGAAGATATTTTATAGATACATTCCTTAACCACAGAGCCACCTTTGTGTTTCTAAGTATTTACAATGAACCCTGCTGATCCTGCGCATTCCGCTGCGGTGCTACCTGCACCCAGACTTCATCATCAGAAAATGAACTTGAACTTCCTGACTCCGAGTCCAGTTCACTAAAGCCATCTAGGTCCCATTCAGTACTCGACTCACTCCTTGCATCATCTTCCTCAGTGATGAAACTCTGACCAGGTTCAAGGCAGGAAGGATATACTCGAGCACAGAGGCAAATAAAGCCAGAGTCGAACTGCAAGAGGCCCAACATGGTCCCTATGTTAACCCACTGGTCTTCCCTGGTGTCGTACTCATACACAGTCACCCTGTTCTTTTTCCACTGGGGGGTGGTCGAGGTGATAAGCAGCAGCTTTTGACCATGATTAACAATCTGGTAGTTGTGGGTTTCTGAGTCCAAGGGAATATTACTAATCCGCCTCCATTCTCCCCTGGCTGGGTTGTAGACCTTCATGACGGGGATATCACAAATACAGTAAATCTCATCATTGAAGACACACGCTTCCTGGAAATCACTGCGTTTAAGAGATGCACAGTTCAGCCACATGTTGTGACTGGGATCATAGCAGAGCATGCGTTTACTATTGACAGCATAAAGGTAGTTCTGAACCACTATTAATTCAAAGGAATAGAAGGAATGGGGTACAGGAGCCACCAGCGCCCACTGGTTCCTCTGAACGCTGTAGCATTCCACTTCCTTCAATTTCACACCAGTAACAGGGTCTCGCCCACCCAAAATGTAAATGTAGCCATTGAGATAAGCCACATCCATGCCCTCCCGACACAGCAAGCGGTCTGCCAGTTGCTGCCAGCTATTCTGGGCTGGTTTGTATACCCAGAGGTCTTTCCTGGGCTGGGCAGCTAGATAGATGTCATGGTCAGGAGAGACACAGACAGCGGAGGAGGTGATGGTCTTGGTGTGAGCCAGGCTGGTCAAAGGTGAAGGCATGGTGTAAATGTCCCCCGAGTAGGGGTCATAGCAGAGAAAAGGATCTCTAGGGTGTCCAAAGAAGACCACCATCTCCTTGGCACACATCCCCATCCTCTGGGGTGGCTCTTCTGCTGAGGAGACAGCAGAGCTGGTGCTGCTGTTTGGCTTGGGCACCAGCGTCTTGTACATCATGTCACCATAGCGCATCTGCAGGGCCCCCTCAATAACGTCCAGGCAGTGCTTCTTCACAAGGGGCTTGGTCAGCAGCCCTTCCAGGTAGTCTCGATCCTTGTCAGTGAAGTGTGTCCAGCGGACGCACTTGAAGACTTCTGCTGCACTGGGACCCCGCTCTTTGGGTGCAGCTTCCAGCCACTGCAAGCCCACCTGACACACAGTCCGTTCACTATCTACGTCCAGACTGTCCAGGCGCACCACAGCCAGCAGCTGCGCCAGGGTCAGATCTGCCAGTGTCTCTTCCCGATTTGAACCCATTCTACTGAGCTGCTTGAAGTTGTGCGCGATGAACGACTGGGCCTGCGACCGAAGCTTGTGATGGTCGAAGGCGTCTGCAAACTTGAGGATGGCGGTGCAGTTGGTCAGGTCCAGGCGCCGGGCTAGGAAGGAGGCGCAGGCTTCCCGCACGTACTCCAGCTGCAGCATGTCAGAGGCAGCATAGAGGCGCTGCACGTTGGCTTCGCTCAAGGACACACGGCCGGTGTAGCAGTAGTCAACCAGCACCTCGAAGGACTCCGCGTCCACATCGTGCATCGTCACGCTGGCCTGCTGGCTCTCGTACATCCCGCCCGTGAACATGCTCTTGAAGTAGGGGCACGCAGCCGCCAAGATGTTGCGGTTGCAGGCGAAAAGGCGACCCGTGCCAGGCCCGCTACCGGGTGTCACCACCTCGATGGTCACGTCGCAGAGCAGCCGCGCGTCGTAGAAGGACTTGAGTTGCGCCAGCAAAGCTGCCGAATGGGCCGAGTCCTTAAGTTCCTCTGGGCCCGTAAAAAAAGCCGAAACCGAGGGCTTGGAAATCCTCTTGGGCCGTCTCCCGCCGCGGGGGCTGGCGAGGCGACGAGAGCGCGGGGCTTCCTCCCGGGCCTGCATGGTGGAGATGGCGGCGCGCAGAGGGCGACAACGACTGCAGCCGCCGGCTCGGGCTCCTCGCCGACGCTATTCGCCGGGCCCTTAAAGAGACTGCGGCACGGCCACACTCAGTTCAGTGAGCCCCACACCGCCGAGTCGCCGCTCTTTATCGCTTAGGCGGTTCCAGACTCACCCGCTTCCACTTCCGCGCCCTTTCGCGGCCTCAGCACGCCGTACGCGACCGGCTGGCGAGAGCCGCGGAGCCGCACTGCCGCGCTGGCAACACCAGCAGGCGCCCAGGAGAACTACCACTCCCAGGGTGCTTCTCGCGCCCCGAGGCATGCTGGGGTCATTCAGACCCTAGGGAAGAACCGGACGGAGAGGAGCCGCTTTGCATGTTGGGAGTAGTAGTTTGAGCAATATCGCGATGTTTCTAGGCTGTACACTGGTTTTCTGGTCAGAATTAGCGGTAAGTTCCCACGATTTTATGGGTCGGGACATTCGTTTTGCGGATCAGATTGGAAACCCTGTGCTTAGTTTAGGACTTCGCTGTATTTCCTCTTCGTAAAATGAAGACAACCATGATGTTGATATGGTTAGTTGTATGAGTGAATGAAACAATTTGCACTGTGCGCTTCAATCGATATTTGATAAGTAGAATAATAAAGTGCCTATTATATGTTTGAGGGTAGCTTACATTGTTTCCCGACTCTCCTCTCACTTCCTGACTAACATTAAGCGTTTAATGAAAATACTTTAGCTCTCCACAAGATAAAATGTTGATTTTATCATGGGAAAGAGAATCAAACTCACATCATCCCAAGGCCAGTTCCTATGATTCTGAAGTCAGATACGGCGCCACCTTTCAAGTTTCTTTACCAATTCTGACAATGTCCCGCCCTGGACATTCTGTATGTCTCTGCTGGGTTCCGAGCCTTGAACAGTGCCAAAGCCAAGCAGCTGCCAGGTTGAGAGTTTGAAGACCAGAAGGAGGCTTGCCTGTGGGCCTGGTGAGAAGAGGCTACCCTGACCAAGATCTGTGTCTAGACCACTTCTGATCCTATACTGTGTTTTATGGTACAAAAGAGACCTCATCTTAAATATATTTTAAGGAGCATACTTAGTTTTAATAGGGACAAAGACAACACAAAGACACAGATAAATCATGTGGATGAGGTAGGTCGTTGTTAGCACAAGGTCAAAAAAGCATCCAAGGATTCATAACTGGGAAGCTAGATAAATAGGATATGTAACAAAGGGAACTGTCACAAATTCATGATTGGTGGCATATGGATACATCACAATTACAGGTGGGAGGAACAGTAGCAGGAACAGAACCATTGCGACTCATACATTATATTAGATGAAAGGATTACAAGATTGGCCCAGGGCCTTTCAACCAAGGTGGCCAGGGCAAGACTGATAGGGCAAGACTCATGACTATGGGGTCCCCTGACCTATCCCCATGATGGCAACCTCCATCAAGGACACACCCAGGAAAGCCCCTAAGAGAGAGACTTGCCCCTCCTGGGCTAGCTGGAGTGCTGCGGAGGTAATCTAGTTTCCAAGGCATTCTGCCTGAGGGTAAGGTTATCTAACCCTAGGTTAACTGCTCGGGAAGAATTAAGTGGAGGATTAATCTACTTGGGGACCCTGTACCTGGATTTTGGGCTGTCACTGCCATCCACAATCGTTTGCAAACTGGGGTGTTCAGAATTTAAGCTTGAATACAATTGTATTAGGCCCCATAATCATGAATAGTCTGTGAGTTCTGTGTGGTCATTGCAATGAATTATCCAATCCAGTAGAGATGTCGAGAGGGCCTGTGTCAGATGTAGGGGAATGGCTGGTGTCAGAATGGCTAAGAAGGTTGGAGTGTGGAGACATGTCTGACCCTTGCTTCATATGAATTGGCCTGGTGCAGATGTTGAGTCTGAGTCTCCGTGAAGTCTGAGGAGGTCTGAAACTGCCTTCACATACCTTTTTACACCAATTGATCGCTCACAACTGAATCATATAATCCTACCAACATCTTCTTTACCCAGACCCATAAAGAGGAAATACACCCAGCCTGCACGGTCCCACCCAGTTGTTGGGAATTACAAAGAGTAGAGCCATGCCAGACAGGTTCTGTATGAGCATAATTAAGTGCTCTGCAATTATTTTTCTTTGCAATGTTATCCATAGCTTGTTATGATCGACACAGTTGAATGTCTTTGAGTAATTAATAAAACACAGGTATGGGATGCTCATTGTAATCTATGAAAAACCTTAGTAGATATTTGGAAGTTGATAGTTCCCCATTTAATTGTTTTGACTTCTTTTTTTTTCTTCAAGTAAACTACATGCTTTAGGAAAAGCCACAGATGGTGGAAGATGAACGGGCCCAGGCCTCCATAGTTAATGCCACTTGCAGTGGGAGAAGGGGTACTTCACATTGACTAAAAAAGCACTTCCCCCTTTTCTCATTTTCTTGTTGAAAATATACACAGCAAAACATACCCCAATTCAACAATGTCTACATGTCTAATTCAGTTACATTTAGTCTTTAAGTTTTCCAACCATTCTCATTTTCCTTTTCCTCCCCCATTAACAATAAACTCAATGCCCCATAGGTTATTATTTGACCTTAAGAGTTACTGTTGTTAATTTGACTCAATATAGTTCTTTAAAAAGAGAATAATACTCAAGGCAAACATTTTTTACTTAGTAAGCTAATCTATTTGGTTTACAGAAAGGGGTTATTTTTAGCTTAAGATTTAATATCTCAGGGCAATAATGTGGGGACTTCATCCAGCCCAGTTGACACCAGAAAATCCGGATTCCGTAATTCTGTTCTGCATGGTCACCCCGTCCATCTAGATTCTTGTATAGGTTCTCTCATCACAATGTTCAGCCATGGTAATTCTTTATTCTTTTTTTTAAACTTTTTCTACTGTGAATTAGGTGAAGGCTTGCAGATCATTGTTTTACATTCAAAGACTAACACACATGCTGGTTCCGTTTACCCTTGCCGCAGGGCACCATTGCTTGGCCCAATGCATCCCTATTTTCTGTTTCCGTTCCCCTTTCTCTGCTAACCCGAGCTCTGTACTCTTGTACCTGCTGCCCTTTTGATTTTAACTGGTTGATTTTTCTAACAGGGAGGTGAGTTCAGTTAGAGACCTGCGAGGTGACTAAGGGCCATACCCTCTGGGATCCTACAGTCTCTATCCAATCAGTAAGCCTGATCTCTTTTGTGATGTTGAGATTCCGCCCACATTTTTCTCCCACTCTACCCGGAACCTTCCAAGGTGATCTTGTTCAGAGCACTTGGTAATGGCAGTCAGGCAACATCTGCTTCTTCTGGTCTCAGGGTTGTGGAGACATGTTCAGGCATCTTCTAAGTTTTACTGAGCACTTTTCGTTTGTCAGGTTTCTTCCCATCCTTGGTATAGGATATTATACCAAGGATTCTTCTCATCCTTGATGTAGGATATTAGCACGACCAGTAAATGAATTAAATGATGAGAAACAAATGCCTCTAGCTCTTGATTTCTCTTACAATTTTTTCTTACTTAATTCTTTTTTGTAGAAATCATGTTTGGGGTTTAAGTTTTTAAAGCTTTAAAATATTTAAGTGTTTACATATTTCCTTTTAAGAAGAAAAAAATGAATTTTAAGTGCCATGTGATTTCATACTTGGTGCCTGTTTCATACTGTTTAATATTCATATTTCCTGGGACTAATGTGCCTCTTATGTAAAATGCCTGAAAACCACCATCACAGTTTCTGTGTTTGTAACTGTGATGGTTAGCTTTTGTGCAATGCGCTACACCTACCGGGAGGGATGGGTGGAGTCCTCAATCAGGACACAGCCCAATGGTGGCTCTTTGGAGGTGTTTACTTTCTGTAAGAGTCCGTGGAGAATTGCTCTCTCTTGTCCCTTTTCTTCCTGCTTCATTAGATCCTGCATCTTGATTTCTAGAGCCAGAGCAGCCCATGTGGCCTGCTGACTTTGGGAGCTGTCAGCGCCCTGCCATGTTCCAGTTGATCCACACAACTAAGCCCCTATCAACCTATGATTTCCTAGCTTCCTGCTTCACTTTTGTGCTTCAGCAGCTGGTAGCTGTGTGTCTGGTGGGACCATCTGCCCCATGGACTTAAGCTGAACTGGGCTGGGCCACTTCCTTGATATAAAGTTCTTTCATATATATATAATGTGTCACTTTTTTTTTCTCTAGAAAATGCATCCGAATACAGTAACTTATACCCTTCAATTCCCTATTCAATTCAAAGTTTTCTTGAATTAAATCAGATTCTCTAGGGACACTCATTATTATTTAGGGCAATGTCTGTCCCTAGGGAAGTAGTAATAGTGTTGATTCAAATAGGATTAGATTAGCCGCCAACTCTGAAAAAGTAGGAAGAAAAACAAAGGAAAGCTTTCTTCTTCTTTTTAAGAAAAAAATTGTTTAATTCTCTGGTGAAAAATCCACACAACCCGTGCAGATCACGTCACTGTAGAATGGTTGTTCTTTGTTTTTGCTGCACCAGCATCGGCCCTGACAGTCTTCACGTATTGGTGTTATATAATGTATACAGCATCAACTATGTAATAGTAGTTATAACCGAGGTCTGATGAATCTTCTAGTTCATAACACATCAATTTGATGGAGGATTTTGCAGAGACCAGCCTGTTCTCTAGGAGGGGTCTTTAAAGAAGGTTCAGGCTGAAAGTGTGTTCAAGAGCCTAGGGAGAGAAGTCTAAACAAAGTTTAATTTATCACATACGTTATTCAGATTGATTGACAGGGGCAAGCAATTCAGCTAGTCAATTATGAGGCAAAGGTTGGGAATTTAAGGGTCTGTGTCTGGTCTTGTGTCACAGGTGAACACGGGGCATTGGAAGTCTGACGTGAGTCACGTGGAGAAAGGCAGGCGCTCTGGTGGGGCAGTGGTAAAGGGCTGCGAATTTGGGAGAGAGAGATGACCATCGCTTCCACAGACTTGCAGACTGGGAAACCCCATGGAACAGCTCTACTCAGTCCTACAGGGTCCGGAGTTTAGGGCAGTGTCCGCCTAGGGAAAGGTGGTTTTTGTAGGGAACAGGTTTCCTGAACACAAAGGAGGGGGGTGGTGCAAAGAATTCTGCATTATCAATGTAGTCCACATAAAATTTAACACTGAGACACTAAACAAGCACGTGTGTATATACACAGCAAATATGTAGTAAAATGTTAACAATAGTTGGTGTTTTATCAACAATAGTTGCTAAATATAAGATGCTTTATAAGAGAAAATTTTGGTGTGCTTGAAAAGTTTCACAACAAAAAGTTGGGGAAAGATTTCTCTCAGGTTTACGTCAAATAGTTCCATTTCAGCTGTTTCATCTAATCAGTCCTGGCATACTCCTCTTTTGACCCAAGGAATTTCCTCAGAATAACTACTAAATGCACCATGCCATTTGGTACTATTAATCGTGATTTCTGTGTTTGCCTCCTTCACGCAGTGGGGCTTCCTTCAGGTAAAGACTGTAATTTAAAATTCCATCAAACGTTCTACAGAAAATTACTCATATTAGGCCATCTGTGGGCTCTCATTAACCCAAAGAGCAGTAAGAAACAAGTCACAGAGACTACTTTATTGTTTTGTGGTTTATTCTTTATATAATTCGCACTCAGCTTTCAAAGAATTTCACAATGTTTCTTGGGATAATCCCTGTTCCTGAGAGACTAAAAGGAATTGCAATACATATGTATGCTTGTGCTATTTAAAAGTAGAACTTAAAGTCTTTGCTTGATCTTTCAGGGGCTTATAATGACATTTATACCTCTTTCATCACTAAAATGTACATTGTCGTGAAGTAACGAAGAAACAGAATTGAACTTGATTTATACATATTGATAAACCCCAGCTGCTGGGGAGCTGACTCCAGCTGTGTGGTCCGAGTAGAACTATGCTCCAGAGGGTGTTCAGAGGCTGAGTTTTAAGAAGTTGAATGGCAGGCCTTTCTTCTGGGGTGACTAGGGGTAGACTCAAACACCCCACCTTTCATTTAGCAGCAAAGAACATGAATCATTTGTACCAGGGACTTCAGATGAATTTACAGATGACAAATATAAAGAGATCAAGTGATCGCTCCTAACACCCATCATCCATTCTCAATAGTGAATTATTTCTTTTTTCAATAATGTACCCTTGTTTTCTACTTGAAGACTTGGACCATGCTTACAAGTAATCCTAAAATAAACCCTAAAACAAGAAATGTGACTTGGTTCATTAAAAAATTATTTGTAAGTTCTGTGCACTTTAGACTGAACTTTATAAAAATCTATAAATACTTTCCGTCTTCTGGGCATAATTGCATCCCATTAATAAATAATAAATGAGCATTTATTTTGCTGATCTAAGGTTTTCATCCAAAAGTTCAGCCATGGCTTCTTCGTCAGCTGATTGAAGGAGTCTTTGAATTAGCTGGTCCAGGGCCTTCTCACCACATAAAAATTCCTGGTAAAAGAGAGCAATTACGGAAATCTGATTACTAGAAATCAATGCAAAAGAAAGCACAACTCATTAACTGTATTTCCTTCTCGTTGTTGTGTGTTATCAAGTCAATTCCAACTCACAGCCACCCATTAGCACGGGGCAGAACAGCCCCAGAAGGTTTCCTATGCTACAATTGCTACAGGAGCAGGTGGCCAGGTCTTGTCTCCCATGGATCAAATCCATGGTGGATTTAAACTCCCTTCCATTTGGTTAACAACTACACGCTTAACCATGTGACACCAGGGTGCCTTCATTTTTTAAGGGCAACAACGAATTATTAATGTGGTTCTAGAATCTAGCGATCACAATTGCTAACATCAAAAAGTTTCAGTCTGTAGTGGTTCTTTACATAAAGCAGGGAGTTCAAAAGAGCAACGGGAATTCTTCCTTCGTAAATGGTTTAAAGTGAAGTAGGACTTGCATTTTATTTTGACATCAGTCTTCTAGGATTTGAATTTTTCCAGTAACTCTGAATTCATTTGGATAGCCACCCCTCCAAAACTCAATTGTCACCTTGGGTCAGGATCATGAACATTTAAACAATAGTAAGTTGAGATAGTTTATTGTGCCAACCTGGCTGATAAACACATGTGGGGTTAATTGAAGGGTGGAGGGATAAATGGCTCAGTGAGCCTCGCCTTTCTAGTTCTTGGGTCTCTTGCTTTGTGATGGTTGAACCAGGGTGCAGCGGCCTTAGCCAGTTCCCTGCGTCAGCTTGCAAGGCTCACTTCCTGCAAGACATCCTTGAGGAGAAGCCACATGGACCTACCCGATGCAGACCTGGGAGCTGGAGCAGCCGTGTGGAGATCTCTGCCAGCGCTGAGATGCTTACACATTCAC